TGCTGTGCAATGTAAGGTATTTCAATACATATGATGATATAAGATGTTTCAATCCAAGTTGCTTTATGTTAAATGTCCATGATTATGGCTAGCATGTATTTGTTTAGAACTATCTCGTCAAAATCTAACTTGTGCATTCCACTTTGAAGTATATTCGTGATGTTATTGTCATCTTTTATAAGATGGGCCCCATGCACTTCCAAATTATCTTCTTCATTTCTGCTGTGATGGGACCCCGGTTCATTGAATTTAATAGTCATACCATAGACAGATAGATATCTATAAATAGTTTAGTTGAATTGCATAAAATTGTTTTTATAAATACTATTTATATATTTTTCTATAATGTTCGGATTTTTTAAAACTGGACAGTGACAACTTCTTTTAAGCGGACACTGACATAATCTTTCGAGTTAAGACTAGCAGTTTGTCTGTCTGGTGACTAGCAGGTTGTAATATCCGATCAAGAGAAGTGTTCATTTAAACTATTATTTAAATGAGGTTTAATTGCAGCAAGTAATGGGAAACGTAACTGAAATATAAATATTTTTAATACATATGTAGTTCCGTACGAGCATATTATTTCATCATATATAGTATGTAACTATGTTAACTTAATTACGTTGATAACAGAAATATTTTTATTATTGATTGCCTCCTTGTTGTGATGCAATTTCAACCAAAGTATGTTAGTTTTGCAATGGATCAATCACTGTCCATTGGCGTTAGTCAATATATAATATAATTTTATTGTAATCACACCTACATGAATTTGTAATGAATTTCTTTTCGTATGAATGAATAAATTAATAAATTAACAAAAAGAAAATCATTATGGTTATATGACTGCCAATTATGTTTATTCCATATGCTACATTTTTGTAATATTTTGTAGTACATAAATCAATCAGTAGAGTTATAGGCGCATACAAAGTAATATTCAATATTTTTATCTGTACTTTTTTTTCAGTTACCAACAATCATAATTAAGTTTATGAATATAAATTTCATCATTGTTGATGATAAACGTGTAATATACATTTTATTTTATTTTAATTTATTTTTATTATGACGTGTATGAAAAAATTATTTCCATAACTTGAAAAAAATTAATATAAACATATTGTATGATTAATTTAATTTATATTATATTATATTGAACTTGCTGCATATAAAATGCAATAAGATTTTGCAGCTGAAAGTGCATTTGCTATAGCATTAAAGTACAATTTTTTTTATATATGTTTTTATCAGACAATTTTCTGAATAATTTCTTCATATATAAATTTGAGTTAAAAGTTTAAAATCACAAAGTTATATATATAATACATTATTTGTTTTAAATTATAATAGAATATATGTGATAATATTTTACGTAATAAAAAGTGTTGTATACTTTCTATTGAAATACCTTCTCATTCATTAAAATTGCTATCAAAATTTCCAAAATCAAGTTAGTAAAAATTTTAACAAAAATGTATAGCAAATATTGCAACAGATGAAATGATACCTGGAATAATACGTGCTGATGGCGAATAGATAAAATTTTGAAACATAACCACAGAGTATTTTAGTCGTGGATAAATAGTATCGATTTATATCCCTCAAAATGCAAACTGTAACCTGCCACTTTAACTCACTGATGGCACTACCACGTTTGGTGGGTGCTTTGATTCCCATCAATGTGTGGCTTTTAGTTTTAAGTGTCCTACACCAGATAGCCAGGTTGGGTAGGAAATCAATGCAAAATAACAAAATTCTACAATATTTAGGAAGTTATTGGACAGCGAATATTGCAAATTTTAAGTAAATTGAAAAAATTTATTTGAAATTTTTAAATATATATATATGGAGTATGTATCATTTA